ATAATAAATATAAATTATATATAAAATTATATTTTACGACGATAAAATTGAAATTTAATAAATAAAAAAAAAATTAATAATTAAATATTAAATGCCTTATTTAAAAAAAATAATAATAATAAAAACGTTTGACGAATCATTCGAATATATATATATATAAATAGTCATTATTTAATTTTAATCGCTACTCATCATCATTATTATTATTACATCGTTTTATTTTCATTTTGATTTTATGGAATTGATAATCGATAATCGATATTAAATCGATTAAATAAATAAATAATTATCCGTAAATAAAAAAAAAAATGTTCGAGTTAAAATTTGATATATATAAATAGCAAACCACTGGTTATAAAAATATTATTATTTATTTATTTCATTAAAAAAAAAGTTTTTAAAACAAAACTTATTTATTAAAATTTTTACTACTAATTTATTAGTAGTTTTTACACAATTATTATTATTATTATTATTACTTTTTTAAATAAAGTAAAATTTCAAATTAAATGTGCATTACTGTAATAATTTAGGTTCACGTTTGTTTTATAATTTTTTTTTTTTTTTTGTTTGTTTGTTCTCTCTTTAACGTTCTCATTGTTTTTAAAAAAAATTCATTGTATGTAAAAACTTTCCTTCACAATTTTTGTACTTTTTAAAAAAAAAAAAAGAAAAAATTATTATTTTTTATAAATTATGTAAATTCTCAAGAGTAACTAAAAATTTTTTTTTTCTAGAAAAAGTCAGGTCGACTGGGTCCGTCACTTTTACTTTCTACGTTTTGCTGACTGTCGTTTGTTTCATCCCAATCATCTACAATTTTTGATGTTTCTAATCTATTTTGCGATTTACTAATTGACATAAGAGAACTTTCATCGGTGGAACCTTTATTCGACTCAGGTTCCTCACATTCGACACTCTTTTCGCCTTCCAAAATTTCAACTTCCGGTTCGTTGTCATTTTCATTAGTTTTTTCTTGACAAACGTTATTAACAACTACGTTTTCTTCTCCTTCTACTTCTTCTGCTTCTTCCTCTTCCTCTTCTTCTTCTTCTTCTTCTTCTTCTTCTTCTTTAACGTTCATTTTTTCTGGTTGATTGCATTCTTCGATATTTATATTTTCTATTTGATCGTTTTGTACAAGTACGTTTTTGACGTCATCGATACTTTCCGATTGTTCGTTTCCTTGAATTTCCGTATTTTCTAAAATTTTTACAACCGAATTATCATCTAATTTTTTTTCCGTCATGTTTTTCTCTTCTTCTCCTGGCGATGCACTATCTATTTCTGGAGCAAAAGCATTTTCCATTTTTAATACTTGACCAACTTCGACATCTTCGCCCTGATTACCATTATCTTCTTTTTGAGGTTTTTCTATTGAATAATGCTGTATGGCAGCCTGAATATTATCAATACCACCCGATGTGGGTGGATTTGCAAACATGATGGAACTACTTTCGTCTATTATACCTCCAGGTTGTTGTAAAATTTGACCCGAAAGTATAATTGATGTTTGAGGTATAACTTTTGAGAGAATAACGTTTGGCTCTCCGTGAGAGATGTGAGGTAAAACCATATTTCCCGACGTCAACAGGACTCTAGGAGGCAAACTGACACAGGACGATTGAAAAACAACGTTAGCCTCGTTCGAAAACACCAAACTTTGATCTGGCAGTATTTGCTGTATGACGGTTTCTTCTGACAGTGGATTTGCAACATTTTGCATTGGAATCATTTGCCTTAAATGATCATCACCGTGGGGCTCTGAATAGTCATGATCTGAGCATGTGGTGCGATTTAATTCTTCGCAATTTGACATTCTAGAATTTGAATCTTCGCTTTCGACAGTCAAAGATTTCAAATTATCATTTTCAATTTTACCAGAATTGTTATCAATTTCTTCCAAAGGAGTGGAAATTAAAAATCCGTTACATTCATTTTCTGAAAAAAAAAAAAAAATAAATAAATAAATAAATAAATATATATATATATATATATATATATATACGCAACACACAAACGACTAGTAGTTTTCCACATGTAATAACTTACCAGCAATAACAGTAGCTTCTCCTCCTATATCTTGCTCTTCTGCTCTTTGCTCGTAGTAAACAACTGTTTGCTCGTTACCAACTAAACTTAACGAAGTTGCTATGCCAGAAGCAACATTACTTAATGATTCTAATTCAGAAGAAGGGGAATCGTTTGTGCAATCTACTGTATTTAAATTTTCAGCCTCTTCGGTATACTGTAACTAGATAAAATATAAGAATTTATCAAAACTATTATTTTTACAGACAAAAAAAAAAAAAAAAAGGAATTTCTTCCTAAGGGCAAGTACAATTTTTGAATAGTTTTGAGATTGGATATTCCCGATTACGTATACCTTTAGCTTAGGTAATAATAAGGTAAAGAAAATATACCTGTTGCCCAGACTGCGGCTCAAAAGTCGTTTCTTGGTTTCTTTGATCGGCAATTTGATTATTTTTTCTCCAGTGATCAGTTACTATATGTTTACCAAGTTTATCACCGTTCCCAAAAAGAGCTTCACAATATGGACAACGGTATATTTGCTTTCCTTCTCTTTGAGTTATTTTCTGAGTGTGAAAATCCGAGTTAAGGTGACCTAGAACGATATTAAATTGCAATTTAGTTACCTGAGAATGATGGGTGGTTTCAATATGGTCTTTAAGCTTGGTGCCATTTTCGAAACGATCTTCGCAAAAAGGGCACGGATAATCGGATAAA